GACAGTTGCTTCATGCTTCCTGCAGTAAATGCATTTTCTTTACAAATTAGTTTAACCTGACTGGAACCTGGCTGGACCTTGTAAAATAAAGTTGTGCATAGCTGCCAGCTGCTAATTAGCCGTTTTCCTCACTTACGGCCTTTGACCAATTTATGCCCATGCGTTTGTCTCATTGGGCCAGGTGAAAACAGTCAAGGAAGATCCCATTAACTGGTTCCTTTCCTGGAATACAACTCTCATGACTAAAAGCCAAGTCTGCTTTACAAACATATGGCACATTGGAGATGATCTCATTTTGGGAGATCAAATGACTCCAGGCCCCTTTACAACTTTTCAAGAGCTTGAAAAGAAGCCAGCTCCCACCACAGGAAATCCTTAAGAAGGAAATTTATCCAGTCCCATAGCTGAAAAAAAACACAAATCAGTACAGCATCACTAACAAGGGCATCCATCTCTTTCTGTAAATTGAGGAAAGAGATTTCCTAATCATGTCTGGCCTGGCAGTTTTCCTAAGGAGCTCATCAGCTGCGTTCCCTGTCTTTGAAGTAATAGAAAGGCAAAGCATCAAAAGCCATATTGAGGAGTTCTGCCCCTATGCAATGATTTAGCGGCCAGAGAGAAACCGTTCATCTTTTATAACATTTAGAGATTTGTTTTCATGCCTATATAACTATATAACTAGTATATGAGGTCCAAGCATTATGTGTTTCTACCCATGTTTGGAAATCTATCTCCAAACAATAAATTACTAGAAAAGGCAAGTCTGGACATTGATAAGTCAATTGCTGTGCAACCTATTCTAGCAAAATACTGAAAACAATCTTAAGGTCCAATAACAGAAAATTAAAAAGTAAATTATAGTAAATCCCCTAAGTATAATAAAATGCTATGATCAAGGACAATGCTTATAAACTCTAGCCAAAAGGGAGTGTGTATAACATTATGTAAAAAGGTTAGACTATAAAATGCCATACACATGTATTACAATTACAGCTGTATAACTGAACCATTATTAGAAGGCAATGTATGGTGTAGTCATTGCTCAGAGTCTGGCTTTGAATTTCCATTCAAGTTACTGACTATTCGTTAATTTGAATGGAAGTTAACATGCAAAACAAAAGCTATAAATGCACTATGGGATGATGAATACTTTTTTTCATGCTGTCAATCTATTATTCTGTGTATGGATGTTAAACAGAATGTTACAGTAAGTGTGTGGCATAACAAAAATTAAAACCTCACTTTGCTTAGTTGCCACTGATAGGGAGATGGGGGTATATAATAAAAGTTCATTCATTAGAGCCTAGGATAATTCAATTTTAAAAATGCTAATAATAGTATAATAATAACTTTCATTTATTGAGCACTACTTTATAAAAGACTATCTGCAAAATGTTTTTTTGTCTGTCTTTTGTTTTGAGATGGAGTTTTGCTCTTGTCACCCAGGCTAGAGTGCAATGGCCCGATCTCAGCTCACCACAAACTGTCTCCCAGGTTCAAGTGATTCTCCTGCCTCAGCCTCCCAAGTAGCTGGAATTACAGGTGTGCGCCACCATGCTCAGCTAATCAGGGTTTCTCTGTGTTGGTTAGGCTGGCCTCGAACTCCCAACCTCACGTGATCTGCCCTCCTCGGCCTCCCAAACTGCTGGGATTTATAGGTGTGAGCCGCCGCACCCATCCCTTGCAAAATGTTTTAATACATGTTGATTCATTTAATCCATCTAACAGTCCTAAAAGGAAAGTGATATATTTTAATCCTCCTTTTAGGGATTAAGAAGGTAAGGCGTATGGGCCACTATCTTGAACTAGCGGTAAGAACTGGGGTTCAAACCCTGGTCTTGCCCAGCACACACTGTCTATCTCTGCCACTGGTGTTATTCATTGTGTTTATGGCTGCACCTGGCTTCTGTCCTATGCCCTACCCTGCAAGGCACGTGACTCTGTCTGACACTGCTCCATATCCCCAGCACCTTGCTCTTCCTGACGTCTCATAGATGTTGATGACGTGAGTGCTGGCCCGAGGTAGTTTCTGAAACACGTTCCAGCATGAGGCACAAGTTTAAATCCTCTAGTTCTATGCTCGGTCAATTAAATCCACTTCAACGTCCTGGCTCATGGTAGACATGAGCTCCGAGCTCTTTGAGCCAGCTTCATCCCACCTCTTTATGTTCAGATCCCCTCTCTGGGGGTTTCTGGTCTCATCAACTGCCCAGTACCTGGCCTACCAGTGCTTTCTGCATGGACCTCACTCTTGATATTCCTGCTCCTTGCATATTGAAGATCACCCTGGCTTCAGCTCCTGAGAGGGTCCTCTCACTCTCCCAGTAAGGCCACCCGAAGGCCAGCTACTGCCATCTGAACTCTCTAGGGCTGTTCCCGTATGACCTTTAGGACAGACACCCTGTGCTGCCATCTTTAATCCCTTCTTGCCAATTCCGTATGTAGTGAGAAGAGCTAATATGATTGTTGCTATTAATTACTAGTCATAAAATAATCACAGGTGATATGTATGAACAATCAGACCAAGCACTCTCTATATTTTGTGTCATTTAATTCTCACAACAACCCTTTTAAAATCTCCATTTCGCAAATGAGAAAACTGGGATTCTGAGTGGTGATGTGACTGTGTCAAGATCATCTAGCCAAGACCGTGGGGCCAGAATCCCAAGTTCATTTCCAATGCACTCCGACAATACCAGGCGGCCAAAGGGTAAGACCACCACTCCAGTGGAGCACAGTCCTTTGGGGGCCCTGTCCTGCAATCACTAGTGATTTTGGGCTCTGAATCTTCCCAATTTCCCATGTGCCCACAATTCCATTTGATACGATTTGATGTCTGTGCCTAATTTCTGAAACAATATCACCGTCTGTGAACTTCTGGCTCCTCCTCCAAAATAATAATTAGCACCATGAAGATTGTTTAGCTGTTGCTTCTGCGCCCGTCATGAGCGATTTACTGTCATCAGGAAACAAGGGCTCTGTCATGCCTTCAACCTCCTCCTTATTAGATCTCCTGCCCCACGTCACCCGACAGAAGTCAAACTACTGAGACCGAACCCAAAGCCCCAGTGAAAGCTGGACAATTTGGCTCCATTCCTAGCCTTGAGCCAGCTGAGCCAAAGAATGCTCCCAAAAGAGGTGTTTGAGTGGGATTCTAAAGCCACAAATGGCGATTTGACCAGGAGACAACAGAGGAGCGAAGAACATATCTAGAAGGGTCATTTACATGCCTCCAACTTCAAGGTAGGAGACGAGACCACAGATGTGGGCAGCAAGGGAAACTGAGAAATTGGTAGTCACCAAGGGAGGTACAAGTCTGGCAGAGAAGGCCAGGGCCCAAGCTTCGCAGCCTCCTAAATACGGCACCTGAAGACATTTTTTACAGGCACCGGCCTTTGGAAACCACTGGTCCTTTAGCAGCAGGACAGCAAGTCCTGTGTCCCCTGTGGCATACGGTGTTCTCCCCTTCATAAGGACCCGAGGAACGAAGTTCCCTCCATCCTCAATGGAAGAAAACATTGCAATCCCTGAGAAACTTCTTATTTTTATTTGGCAGAAACCAAATAACTTAAGACTATTTTTTTCTTTTCTGTGGTTACAGGGAGCTCAGAGACAAATATGCAGCCCCCACGTTTGTTATGACTTTGTAGAATGGGTGATGTGGCCCAATTTTTGCCTTGCCTTATTCTGATTTTCTACTTTTATTTTGCCTTCCTCACAATTCCCTCTAATTTCCACTTTTATCCTGTTTTGGTCATATCAGAAGAAAAAAAAAGAAGACAAAATCTACACAGTACTTAAAAATTTTTAAATAATATATATTTTGGACTACGACTCCAATAGAGCCCAGTCCTTCAGGGGCCCTACCCTGCAATCGCCAGTGAGTTCAAGCTCTGAAGCTTCCTAATTTCCTGTGTGTCCACAATCTAGTGGAAAACGATGTTTGCCTTTCCTTGAATAAAAAGTAAAATCTCAGGGTGGCCATAGAAGAATCCTCAAGAAGGCAAATCCTAGCTGAGGGGAAAAGGGTGGCATTTCTGACTTTATGCTCAGATTATGGCCAACCTGAAGACAGAGAAATTACAACCAAGCTCAGAGGAATGTGAAATTCTGGTTTCCACTGGGCATTCGGTCTTGTTCATTTGCAAGTACGATTCCTGCCTCAGGTTCAGTCAGATTCTCTAACGTCTCCCTCAGGCAGTCCATTCAGAAGTCTAAACACTAACAAATGAGCCATGTATTTGATTATCTCCTGCACTAGGGAGGGTGCTCCTTAAAAAAGGGGGGGCTGTACGGGGCTTGGTGGCTCACGCCTGTAATCCCAGCACTTTGGGAGGCCGAGGTGGGGGGATCACTTGAGGTCAGGAGTTCGAGACCAGCCTGGCCAACATAGTGAAACCCCATCTCTACTAAAAACACAAAATTAGCCAGGCAGGGTGGCAGAAGCCTATAATCTCAGCTACTCAGGAGGCTGAGGCAGAAAAATCCCTTGAGCTTGGGAGGCGGAGGTTGTAGTGAGCCGAGATCACACCACTGCAATCCAGCCTGAGTGACAAAGTGATACTCTGTCTCAAAAAAAAGAAAAAAAGAGGGGCCATTGCCTAGCAGAGCACCTGAGGCATAGCCAATCACCGCAGGTGTCTGCAGCGAGGATAATCTTGTGGTTCACCTGTGAGATTTCTCCATACAATGCCTTCCATGTTCTGATTACAATGCTCCTTTACCATATATTAAGATGCATCTGATCCTTCTTCCCACTGGGCAATCTGGGTAGCATAAATGGCTAAGGCATTTGAGGTTAGACTGGTTGCTAAGAGGTTTGAGTGTGTTTAGCCATTAAGGACAAAGGTTAATGAAGAAGCCAATTAGATCATTAAGGCTTTGATAATGGCATTAACCCTGTTTGAAGGCTCTTAAGACATTTACTTATAATCTGCTTGGCCACAATGCGTGTCCATAGTTAATGGTTGGGCTAGGGCAATATAAAAAATGGGGCATGAGTCAGGAGGACCAGTGTAGCTTGCTCTCCATTACAACGTGGTCCTTTAAAATTTCCCAGCCAAACAGATAGAGTAAGCGGTGGCCTTCTCGAAGGGCAAAAGGACCTACTCCAAATGGGCAAACACCATGGCCAAATTCAAGTGCACACCATTACCCAGCACATAAATAACTCACAGCAACAGGTCAGCCAAGGAGCTGCCCACAGGTTTCCAGCCTTCTGGTGGCCCCAGGGAAGTAAGTAACTGCCTTCCGTCACTTCTCCATTAGAATTTTTTCAACGAAATCCCCTTAGATTCAATATCCCAAAACAAAGCTTGTGGCTTTTCCTTTCCAAATGTATCCTCAAGCATCCATTCAGAAACCAGACTTAGGAGTCGCTCTTGACTCTCTCCCACCCTCACCTCCATGTAGATTCCTTCGCCAAGTTCTGTGGATTCCATCTGGTCAATATTCTTCTAGTCTCATCCCATCAAGTGTCTGCCGTCCTCTGGGACACTTGCTCCATGTCAACATTGTCTCTTGCCTGGACTAGTAGCCTGCGAATTCGGAGGACTGCCTCCCCCACCCACACCCACTCTGCTCTTCCCTTGCCCATTCCATTCTTTCAAAACTCCACGTCCCATGGTTATTACGACATACCCTTCCCCCACCCCAGGCTTAAAATGCTTGGTGCAATACTGAAACATACTTACGCTGCAAAAAAATTACTCTTTGCTATCTGAAATTCAAACGTCACTGGCAGTCTCATATTCTACCTGGAAACTCAAGTTGCTAAGCTTAGGCCCTCTCTATGGCCTCCGAGGCTCCTTCCACTGTGCTCAGAGGAGTCCTTGGGCCTAAAACTGCCCAGGTCCGCATAAGTATCAGAAAATCCCTGATTACAGCTGCAGTTCCAGTAACCAACCACCCAACCCTTCCCATGACCTTTCGGTACCAGAATTTGCTCTGAGACATGCTTGCTTACAAAATGAAAAGGATCCCATTTCAGGAGTAAATTTAAACAAAGGATGCTTAGTTCTGAACTTTTGCATTTAACTCGACTGCCCTCTTGTGGAAATAGCTGTGAATTGTGCCTCAACCTGAACGTGGCACCCGCCAGGGTCTGGGATGCATTCACCAATTCCTTGAGCACTGATGGCAGACCTGCTGTGTGCAAGGCTCTGTGCCATGCACTATAGGGGAACACAGATGAGCTACGTTTATGGGATACTAAAAGGAGCCAGACAGTTCTAGCACCTACTCTGTTTACTAAGATGAGTTCCTTAACTCACCCGATGTTCCTTAATGTTTCAGTAATCACTGGTATAGTAATGACTGTAATTATCTAATTATTTCTGTATGTATTCAGGTAGGTTAAAGGATATAAAGTTCCCTGTATATAGCAAGCACTCAGGTGATCTTGAACTGAGAACACATTGGTATGCAGCAAAGAACATTCAATAAAATTGGCTATTTGAGATTTATATATGCCCACAGGTAGGCCAGGCCCGGAAGGGAAAAATCTAAGCTACGTTTGCTGAAGCTGGCTGATGCCTAAGAATGCCCTGCAGAAGTATAGTAATTTATAGTGTAAATTCGCACCCGTGGCTTCATAGACGAGGCTTCATCAAATCTTCACTACGAGGTAATGAGCAAGGCATTGTCCTCCATTTGATGGATGGGAACACTGAGGCTCGGCGAGAGTAAGTGGCCAGGCCACTGTTCTAAGCAGTGGCAGAGGCAGAAGGCAGGTCACAAAGGCAAATGCTACAGGACCAGGCAGGATGGGGAAGTCAGGGGTGTGGCACCAGAGCACGGAGGGACCTGGAGCACAGAAGGGTGGGTCCTTGGTCTAAAAAGAGCAGCAAAGCCAGTGTCTTGAGGCCACCAGTGAATGCACGTGTGCAGTCTCCTACCTTGTTCTTTACAATCGGGAATTCAGAATTGTGTGTTTTAGGTTGAACATATAAAACTGCTCATGTTCAACTATTTTTTAACCTACAAAACTAGAAATTTCATGGGGTGTAACCTAATTGAAGTTTCCAGTTTTAAAAATATTATGCAGTTCAAACAAATTCTGTCTATGGGACAGTTCTGCACCCAGGCTGCTCGTCTGAGCTGCCTCCTGGCACAGCCCATGAGAATTTCCTTCCTCACACACAGAAAGAAACTGGTTGTTTTGGAAGCCAGCCACACAGAGGCTCAAGTTCTCCAAGAGAATTCATATCAGCATTTGCAGACAAGTATTCACATTTCTTTTTAACTCCAAATGGTTCAGTTACATCTGAGGTCTGTGTGAACGCTTTTACAATAAACAATGGGCCACCTTGGATAACCAGAAGCTGCCTGGTTATTTGGGTCAAGATCTAGAATGCATCTCTCTGTTTATATTCACTACTAACATTTTAAAAGTTATTTGTAAATGCACAGATACACACAGTTTACAAGAGTTCACAAACATGATGATATCCGTGCTGTTGGAAGTGCTGCCTTTTCTCTTTTTCTACAGATCCCCTTCCTGCCTACTCCTTCTTCTGCAGAGCGGTCCCGCCCCGAAGCAGCCCAGGATAACCACTCACTGCATGCACCTACCTCCTACCCTCTGTGCCCACATAGACCTATGCAGAGACCTGCTTAATAGTATAGTCATATAAGCATGTGTAAAGGATCTTTTTGCTCCTCTGTTCTTTAAAAATTAAAGCATATTACATTTTATTATCTGTGCTTTGTATCTTGTATTGTACTATTATAATATACTGTGGCAGCGTCTCCAGGTCAAATGTTCTAGCAGCTCTAATGCAGTCTTTTTAATGGCTGCATAAATATTTATGGCAGATTCACACTGATTCAGCCAACCACCTTCTGATGATCACTTTGTTCCCAGTTTCCTGCTATAATGAAAAACGATGCAGTAGGCACCCTAGTCCACATGTCTTCACATTCTGATGTTTTACATTTCATTGGCCAGAGGGCACATATATTTTTCATTAAATAACAGTTGCCAGTTTGCCTTGATAAAAACCCTGTGGCACTTCAGACGCCCAGCACATCTCATGAGAATAAAGCAGCTCTTAACTCTTTACCACGCGGCATGTGTGACACGTGGAAGCCCCCAGCTCAAGGTGAGGGTGTGCTTGGGCAGGTAACGGGCCAGTGGCAGGCACAGCACGGAGGTCGGCTCCCCTTACCTGTTGTAGTTGTGGACCAAATCAAAAATCATCATGTCTGTGGTGTTGACAAATTTGCACTGGACAGGCATAAACTCTCCCTCTGCAGAACACTGGGGTGGTGACTTGTCCCCCACCCCGTGGAGAAGACGACGATTTCTTATTTCACAGCTCCTTGGACCTAAACATTTTCATGAAGAAAAATTACATTCTTATGTATAAGTAGACACATGTTTCTACAGTCGAGCAGCGTATACAGTCATGTGTCCCTTAGCAATGGGGATGCGCTCTGAGAAACCATCATTTGGCGGTTTCATTTTTATGTGAGCATCATAGAGTTGCACTTATGCAAACCTAGATGGTTTGCCCACGGCACACCTGGGCTGTACGAGCTAGCCTGTTGCTTATAGGCTACAAACCTGTATAGTGTGTTGTTGTAATGGATACTACAGGCAACTGTAAAACAATGGTGAGTATTTGTGTATTTAAACATACCTGAGCATAGAAATGGTACGGTAAAAATACAGTATAAAAGAATAGGCCGGGCGCGGTAGCTCACGCCTGTAATCCTAGCACTTTGGGAGGCTGAGGTGGGTGGATCATGAGATCAAGAGATTGAGACCATCCTGGCCAACATGGTGAAACACTGTCTCTACTAAAAATACAAAAAAAAATTCGCTGGGCATGGTGGCTTGTGCCTGTAAAGGAGGCGGAGGCAGGAGAATCACTTGAACCCAGTAGGCAGAGGTTGCAGTGAGCCAAGATTGCACCACCGCACTCCAGCCTGGTGACAGTGTGAGACTCCATCTCAAAAATAAATAAATAAATAAATAAAGAATAGTATACCTGCATGGCACCTTCATGGGGCACTTACCATGAATGGAGCTTGCAGGACTGGAAGTTGCTCTGGGCGAGTCAGTGGGTGAACACAAAAGCCTAGGACATTCCTGTACACTCCTGTAGACTTACTTCAGTTTTACTTTACAAATCTTTCATTTTAAAAAACTTTTGATTCTTTTATGATAACACTTAGCTTAATACATGAACACATGGTACAGCTGTACAAAAATATTTTCTTTCTTTATGTACTTAATCTATAAACTTTTCCCTATTTTTAATTTTTGTTTTACTTTAAAACTTTTTTGTTAAAAAGTAATAGATAAACACACACGATAGTCTAGGTCTACTCAGATTAGGATCAAGGTTATCATTACGTCACTAGGCAATAGGAATTGTTCACTTCTATTATAACCCTATGGGACCACTGTCATGTATGTGCTCCATTGGTGACCAAAACATCCATATGCAGCACATGGCTGTGCTTATACTATATACATGGCAGTTAGAGACCCACACAGTGACTTAGGTCTGCAATAGGAGACTCAACATTTATTGAAATCCTGCTTATGTTTCTAATGATCAACCAGCAAATATGACTTGTCTACCCTATGGAAATATGAGAATAATAAAACCTTCCCCTTGAAAGCTTTTATCTTCCCTACTGAGGGCCTGGTTCTCTGCCCATTTTGGCAGGAAACCCTAAATGTTTTGGCTCACAGTGAGGAAAGCGGCAGCTCCTCCCGTGCTCTAGGGGTGCAGGTGTGAAACTCACATCGCCTTGGCCTCCCCAGCTGGCGGGTCCCATACACCTCCATGCCCTCTGCGTCCACACACCAGCATTGCACCTGCCGCACATCACACTGGACAGGCGTGTAGTCCCCTGAATCCTGACACTGAGGGAGGTAGGAGGTGGCTGTGCTGTTAATGTAGCCACTCAGCAAGATCTGCTGTTTCTGCAGCTGACAAAATGACAAACCTGTGGGTACAAGGAGCAGTGTTAAGTAGGGCCAAGGGGAAATGTCCAGGGGGCTGAGCCCAGGAAAACTCATGCTCCCTCCCCAGAGGGACTGAGTGATCGGTGGCAACTGCAGCACAGGCCTAGCTGGTATCCCGTGGACTGGGTCAGGTAGAGCTCACCGGTGTGACCTCGATCAGTCATGTACCCCAGAGCACCGGTAATGCGGAGGGGAGATGGCATCGGAGTGCAGGCCTGGCATTAACGGAGCTTTTCTGGGTCCGGTTTTCTCCCCAGGCTCACTGTGTAGCCCTGGGGAGCTGGTGGTTCACCAATCTGCATGAGGGTTAGTGACCTTAGCTGCACAGTTTCAGCATGTGTCCCCTCCAAATCTCATGGTGACATCTGATCCCCAGTGTTGGAGATGTTTGAGTCCTGGAGGCGGACCCCTCATGAAGAGATGAATGCCCTCCCTCAGAGTGAGTGAGTTCAGCTCTATCAGTGTCCATAAGAGCTGATTATTAAAAAGAGCCTGGCACCTCCACCCTGTGTCTCTCAAGGTTTCTCTCATCACATGATCTCTGCATAGATGGTTCCTCTTCCCCTTCCATCATGAATGGAAGCAGCCTGAGGTCCTCGCCAGCAGCAGAAGCTAGGGTCATGCTTCCTTCACAGCCTACAGAACTGTGAACCAAATACACCTCTTTCCTTTATGAATTATCTAGCCTCAGGCATTCCTTTATAGCAACACAAATGGACTAAGACATTAGCAATGATCACCCCCTACTGAATACCACTAGTGCCTAGTGTTTACATGTGTTCTAAATCCCCACATGGTACAAGGCAGATGCTATACTCATGTCACAGGTAAGGAGCCATAGCTCAGTGAGGACGCCTGACCCAGCCAAGCTCACGCAGCCGGAGAGTATCAGACAGGTGTGCCCCCACAACAGCCGCACGGGATGCGTAAAACTAATGCCCCAAACAGAGCTTTTAATCCATCAAAGCAGAGTTTTTGTTTTAGGCTCAGTTTCCTCATTTTATGGTGGTTGGCTTAAATTGACCGTTGTTTTAGGGTTATGACATGTTTTAAAAGGGGACTGTGTTTCTTTGATGACTCAATATAATAATGATCTTAACTGGATAGCTTTGACCCAAGTCTTAAATTTTTAGAAACACCTCACACCATAGGTGAGAAGGCACTTCGTATTTTTATGGTCATTTTCTGATTTCAGGGGACAGTGATGTCTGTTCACCACTGTCTTCTCAGCACCAGGCAGAGTACCTGGCGCATGGGAGCAACTGGGTGGATAATTGCTTAACAAATTACTGGATTTTCACAGGGGCCCTGCAGCACAGAGGGCCTTCCTTGACTTGCAGGGATGATTCTTCTTCACAGAGAAGCCAGCAGCCTAGAGGGAGGACTCGCTCAGTCATCTACCCAAACCCAGTGCTCATTCCTGGACATGAGTTGTCCCAGCAGGGTCCCTCCTGTCCCCACTTACAAGCCACAGGCCGTCCTGGCTGCCTGCTGCCCAGCACTTCGCTGCCATCAGCACCCACACACCAGCAGGAGCGGCCGTCATTCTGGCACTGGACAGTCCTGGGGAGGAGAGGCAGACCAGGTGACTCTGCAACGGGCCCCCAAAGCCACACACAGGCTCCCACCCAGCCTACTTCTCTTCTTCGTTTCCGTTCCTCCAGGTTTTGGTTCATTTAAATTAGGGGGACAGTGGAAGCGAGAGGGGTGGCTGACCTGGGAAAGGAAAGGCTCCACTTTCCTGCCTGGCTAACACCTGCTCTGCCTCCTGCCCCAGCCATTCATTCAACACCTGTCCAGCCTGCCAGCCCCAAAGCAAGTGACCCACCCTGGAGTGCAGGGCTTCAGCCACATCCACTAAGTGTCCTCAGTCATTATGAGGCTGTAGAGGGTAAAGGCAGTGCCCACATTGTGTGGATAGGATTGGGGGCTCTGGGGGTGGGACGTTAGTGGGATCAGGGGCCGGCCTGGTATATTGGGAAGCACATGGGAGGGGTCAGGTCAGGCCATAGAGTTGATACCATTTCTGGAAAGAAATGATGGCTGAACTGAGACCTGCAGGATGGTCGGGGGTGTAGAAGGTAAAAGATGTTCCAGGTAAAGGGAACAGCATATGCAAAGCCTCCTGAGGACAGACCAGGTTTGAAACTGCAAGAGGCTGGAACAAGAGAATTGGGATGGGAACATAAATAAGGCTGGTGAAAGTGACACTTCCTCCTTAACGCCTTCCTTGCTGCTCCAGAATTCCCAGCAATTTAAGCAAGGACTGCTCTAGCAGTGTCTCTGCATGCTCCTGGGAGGTTACGCATATTAAGGGTGTACAGAAGATAGCAGCAAGGAGGGATGTTTTGCAGATGTGTCCCAGAACACCGTCATATTGATGGAGTTCCCCTATTCAAAATGACTGGAATAGCATGGGGAAATTTCAATTGCCTGCACATTACAAATGATTCCTGTCTATTCCACAAGGAAGGATTGTCTAGATTATTACCACACTCTCCATAGAGAGGGTCTCAGGCCCCACAACTGCATTAGGGCAGCTGGAGAAACACCTTCCAGAGAGCAGCTCAATGAGGAGACAGTGACCTGTAAGCCCAGAGGCAGCCTAGAAAGCTGTCCTGGACAGGGCCGAAGGCAGAAGTGGATTGGGAAGTCAAGGCAGCCTCTCCTTCCACCACCCCAGCTTCTCAAGAGGATACTTGGAGGAGGGAGAGGTGCCAAAACACAGATCATTTGACACCCTCTGCAACTCTGCCCCACCCCCCAACACGTGCGGTTTATTCAAGTCATCACAGAAAAAGTGATGGCAGGAAGAGAAGGGAGAGCAGTGGGAGGATGAAGCATGGATTGGGGTTCACTTGGTCAGCTTGGCCAGTGTTGATCAGCTTGGGGACCTGAAAGGCAGGCACCTCCAAATGGCAGTGGCCAAGCATCATGTGCACAAAGGAGTTGTAGGACAGAGCGCAGGAAGAGACGGGGAGGCACCAGACAATCTTTATGGCATCTTGGACCTTGAGAGTTTGCTGCTGATATAAGCCTTACTGGAAACTGCCATCTTCTGTGCACTGGGGCACATAGTCTGCTCGCTTCAGAAAGGCCCTTTCCCTCTGCAGCTCACAGGGACGAAGGGGCTGGGCATCCACCTGGTACTCTAGGAAAGGAAGTATTTCATCAGAGAAGAGCATGGACTGGGCTGCCGGAACAGAGATGGCCTCTCATAAGCACAGATGCTTTTCCAGGGTCATCACCATTACCTGTGACAGTCTATCTTAAAATCTGGCAGCTAGGCACACTTTTCTCCAAGTGTTACATTAGCTGATTTAACGCACAGCATTCCCCTGAGAGGTGACAGGCAATATATCCTTGTCACTCATGAGGCGCCAAGTCTCAGGCAGCGAAAGTCATCTGATCAAAGTCACGTAGCGCTGGCAAGTGAAGGATTCCAAAATCAACACAGGGACTCCACATTCCCCACCCCTGCTCCCATGAGGCTATTTGGAGTAGGTTACAGCACCACAAGGAAGTTCTTGAATCTATCAAGCCATGCCCTGCAGATGTAGCACCTTCTAGATACACATTGAAATACAAATTAATTAATAATGTACATGTCGTCTTCTCCATTGAGGACTCGTATAACACAGAGAATCTTACCTGGAAATCACAACCACACCATGAGGTTGTTGTTTACTTTTTAAATGAAGAAACAGCAGCTTGGCACTTTGCCCAAAGTCACACGGGTAAGTGGCTAGGACAGAATTTAGGACTATTTCACTCCACAGGTAGATTTCCTTTCCTACTACCTGCTGGCTACTTCTAAAATACCTCTCATGGATGACATAGACTTTGGAATAGCTAAGGGGTTAAAAACCCAAGGTCAATGCGAAGTTTGCCAAAATGGTGGAGTGAGGGGGACCTAGAATTGAATAGGAAGATCAATCTCATTTCCCATCTCTGCTCCACCAATCACTAGCTCTGTGACCTCAAGTAATTTAGTTCGCCTCTCTCTAAATCTGCCTGTTTATCTGAAAAGGAAAGTAAATCACTGACATGTGGGCATTGGGGAAATTTTAATTAGATTACATCTGTTTGAAGGCCCATTGCAGAGCCTGGCTGACACTGGAGCTCCCTCCCCAGTCCCCTGGCTCCACAGCCTTAGAACTTACCAAAGATATTGGCGGACACCAAGCAGACAGAGCCCAGCAGGCTGACAATCCCCAAGACCAGGGCCATTTTCCTGGCCCTTCCCGGGAGGAAGGAGTAGAAGCCACTGCCTGCCCTAGGTCCCCTGGCCAGGGAGCCTTTATAGAGCTGTGGTTGGCAATGGCCTTCCACCCACAGGTACTCAGTGAGGCAGTGCCCCATCCTGTTTTCTCTGCTGGTCTCAAGGAGCTCCCTCCACCTGTGTCTACTCCCCCTGAAGGCACTCGTGTGGCTAGTGGAGCATGAGAATTCTTGTTTAAACTGTAGGGAAACATAACTGGATGGGGTGACTTCAAAATTTTTTTATGGGTAAAGACCAAAGCTTTGTAGCTTTGGAAGCAACCAGCTCAAGCCCCCCATGAGGGAAAAGCAATCCCTTGTTTTTTCCTTCCCCTGCACCCTTTCTCCTTCCCCTTCCTTCCTTCCTTCATTTCCTTCCTTCTTTCCTTTTTTCCTTTCTTCCTTCATTCTTTCTTTCCTTCCTTCCTTCCTTCCTACCTTCCTTCTTTCCTTCCTGCCTTCTACTTTCCTTTCTTCTGTTCTTTCTCTAACAACTTTTTAGAGCCCCACAGTAGCAGGCACCTAATATAGACACTGATATGGCAGAGAACAAAACAGGCAAACCTTGCCCTTATTAATATAGAATGTGAAAACTTTAGTGAGGGAAGCAAAATACGCACACACTCACATTCATATTTCTATTCTTTACCTCTCTTTCCTAGGACTTCAGACTTTGCCAACTGAAAGGGAGCGGGAACTGTCTTTCACAGAAAGCCTTTATGTAAGTTTTTTTCTCCTGGAAAACACAGCTTCCTTCCTTCAATCCTGTTCCTGTGAGACCTGGGAAAACTCACCTCATCTCCTTGAGTCCCAGCCTCCTTCTCTAGAAAGCAAAGTTAAAAGGAGAATAATAATGTGTCCCTATTTGTTAAGGTAGTTGTAACAGAATAAACAGACATTGAAGAGCACATGCTCAGTAGACCCTAACAGTTATTATTATTATTGATTCTTTCTATTTTGAAAAAGCATCATACCAAGTAATGGCAAGTATTCAGAAGACCAACCCAGCCAGGTAAGGAGCTAGTTACAGATAGAGTCGGCAACTGGCAGGTGATGAGGGCAGGTTGCTGAGCCTGGCACCTGAGGAGAGAGGGAGGGACCGGTGAGAATCTAAAGGATGTGGTCCCAGGGACAGTGAAGGACAGGAGGACAAGCTGGAAAGTGGAAGAGACTCCAAACCCTGGGGAAATGAAGGAGCTGATATAGCTGCCCTGCCATGGGCTGTACTACCTTCTACAAATAGGGTTGCTATGAACATTAAATATGTTAAAATATTTAAAGTGTTTAAGACAGTATTTGACACATAATAAGTACCCTGTGTTAGCTACTGTACTAGTCTGCTACCGGTGCCATCACAAAGTATCACAGACTGGGCGGCTTAAATACCAGAAATTTATTTTCTATAGTTCTGAAGGCTGGAAGTCCAAGATCAAGACGTCAACAGTGTTGGTTTCTTTAAGGACTCCTCTCCTTGGCTTGTGGATGGCCATCTCCTCCCTGTGTCCACACTTGGTCTTCCCTGTGTGTGTGCGTGCGTGTCCTAGTATCTATTTCCTTTAAGGACACCAGTCATACTGGATTAGAGCCCACCTTGTGACCTCATTATTCACTTAATTACCTCTTTAAGGGCCCTATCTCCAAATGCAGTCACATTTTGAGGTCCTGGTTTTAGGACTTCAGCATATGGATTGGGGAGAGGACACAGCTAGTCCGTAACAGCTACTGTCATTATTGTTGGGTTCACGATACAAACTAGAGAAAGTAAAACACAACGTCATTTTAAGTGTCAGGGTGTGGATTAAAAACAGGTGACAGCCTGTGCTCTGCACATCCTTCCTGGGGACCACACATGCCTGGAGCTTCCACATCTCTCTCTAGCTCAGTCTCCAGCCAGATGCTTTCGACCACAGGTCCACTCTGCCTGGACACCCTACAAACCTTTCAAATTCAACACAGCCCAATCCGAACCTTCGACCTGTCTCCCAACATCACACCTTTGCCTGTCTCTGTGAGCGCAAATCCAAGCCCCTTCCTAAGCCTCTTTCCTCAAGTCTTATCAGCCTCCAAGTCGTACCAGGCTGCTGCTCTTTCCACTTTGTGGGTCCTCCCCTCCTCTGCATCCTCACTCCTCCTGCCTCCAACACATCCCCTCAGCCTAGAACCAGCCCGCCAGAACAGCCTCCTGTGCTGCCCCTCACCAGGGCTTCCTCACCAGCTGCAGGGACAGTCCTCTAAAATATGGCCCTCCATGTCACTTTATAGATTCTACAAAAAGAGTGTTTGGTGCCTGGTGAATCAAAACACAGTTTCCATTCTGTGATATGAAACAGCACATCACAAAGTGTTTTCACAGATGGGGATGGAGACTCAGCCAACAGGTGCTCAGGAGGTACGTGTGGCAGGGAGATCAATTCACCCTGGGGAGTGGGAGGACAACTTAGTTTAAGACCTAGATGTTAGGCAAAGGTGATCTGGGGAGCGTATTGGCATTTACTGGAAAAGGAGACACAATGAATGACTCACCTGCCTGACTCCCTGCTGCCCCGTTACATGGGCCAAGTTCACCCCAGGCTATGGAGAGCCAGCAGCATCCTTCGCTCTACAGCAATATAACAAGAACAGCATTGTGCAGTTCCTGGTCATTTCTCCATCTCTACATATGCTAAAGCAGATAAATCTTAGAAGAAGTTGAATGTGGTTAAAGGTTTACCACAAACCTTGCTCACCACGCTTCCCATTGCCCTAAAATGCATGCATAAAGCTTGCACAGGTTGGCTTGTGTGCTGAATCATTGTTGCTGGCCTGGGCCCTGAGAAGCAATGCATAGACCCATGCCAGAGGTGTCTCTGCTTCACTGGGTTTGGTGCTTTAGGAACTCTGTGCTCAGGGTTCATGAAGCAAGCCAAGATATCACTGGAATGAAGAGTACTATGAGAGAGGAATGGCAGGCCTCTGAGCTGACTCCACTTCAGACCCCACCTGGAGAAGCAGCAAGGCGTTAGGAGCCTGTGGAAGGGCACTCAGTAGTCTAAACAGCACAGGCTGCCTTCAAAATCCATGCAAAGAGCTTCCCTCCATACGCAAAAGCAGAGGTGCTTCTCTGCACTCAAGTAACAGTGCGGCAAGCTTCAAGAGAATCCAGCCAAGGTGTCACTTCCCCACCATGAAACCCTCTTTCTCATAATGACTCAGCTACTGCTCCCTGCTTTTACTTCTTCCCTACTGAGCTCTGAGAACATACAGGCTTCCACAGTGACTCCACATGCCAAGGTCCTAATCTTTCTTCACCAATTTATTCCTTGCTCAGGCCTCTGTCACTCTGGCAGGCTCTTCACCACTGGCCTTGCCACCTCTCCCACTTTCCTTGGCCCAGAATACAATTGCATAACCTTCTCTTTCATCTCCTCCATTCTTTAATACTAAGCTGCTACATATAATAGGTGCTTACTGAAGATATGGGGGGAAATAGAGAGTAATAGGAATACAGAGGAGGAAGTGGCTTCAAATGGATCATCAGACACCACTGTTTTTTACAACCATCCATCAGCTGTCATGCACCACAGGTTGCTTCCCAGCCATCTCTCCTTTAGTCCAGCATGCCACTATATTGCTGGATCCCTGCTACCACTAGGGACAGCTTCTTCCCATCCCCCACATACCCAAGGACACAAAGTCACAACCCTTCTTCTTCTAGGTTTCTAGGGCAATAATAAACATTTCTGGTTCTTGATTTCTCAGCCCAGAAAGATGGAGTGAAAAATACACTTTTCCCTATACCTCCTGCTAAGTATAGCTAAAACCATGAACATTATATATAAAACAAACATAAGGCACTGAAAGGTGAAGAGAAGGAAGACTGGCTATCGCCCTCAGGATCAAAGGAATGAGAGAGATGGTAGGAGTTTCCCGGATCTATCTGGCCTCCTAAGTCTCAGATGAGATGTTGGAGATGCAGGGTACTCAGAAATGCCAATGAGCACAGATAAAACAAGCCCCAAGAAAATCCTCTTGAGCCAAAGTCCAGGAAAGGCAACAGCCTGGTAAGACAGAAAACTTTTAGACAACCACCTCTTTACTATACCAAACAACACAGAAAATCTGTCTCTAACCCCACCAAGCCAGCAAAGGTCAAGTGAGGGGCCCAGATTTCCACTCCTGTCAATCTGTAAGGAGGTTTCCCAATCCCTCTGACACGGTTTGTCAGAGGAGACAGAGTGAGGAGTTGTGACTTTTACCCTGCTGGGGAGTAATGACCCTCCTCTTTCTGCAGTATCAGTGGAGACCTTGCAGGGAGCTTGGAATTCTGCTCCCATCCAGTGGTAATAAGGTGTCACTCTCCCCCTTGCCACTTGGTGTATCAGAAGAGATCTAGTGAAGTATCAGGACCTTCACAACTGCCCAGCAGTAGCAAGACCATCTCCCTGTTGTGTCCATGAAAGGTCACGTGGTGAACAGTAATGGGGCAACCCTGACCGTCTCAGGCAGGGTGGCATAGGCCTAGAGAAGAGGCTGAATTGCCATCCCTGCCTAGCAGTACAGAAAAGCAGAACAGCTTCCAGGTGTCAATGGAGTAAGAACTTGGACTTCCAGTCTCAGCTGGCAGTAATGAAGTAGCATCTCCAGTTTCCCAATGTAGTGATGTCATAAGAGTGCTTCTAAAATGAGAACCAAAGTTTCTTAGCCAAATCGTTCAAGTCTTGATCAAAAATCACTAATTGTACCAAAAACTAGAAAAATCTCAACTTCAGTGAAAAAAGACTATCAATATATACCAGCATCTGGTGACAAAGATGTCAGAACTATTTGATATGGATTTTAAAAGTCATCATAAAAATGTTTTAGCAAGCAATTATAAATGTATACAAAGCAAGTGAAAAAATAGAAATTCTCAGTAAAGAAATAGAAGATACAAAGAATAACTATATGGAAATTTTAGAACTAAAAAAGAAAATAATAAAAGTAAAACATTCAATAGATGTGGCCAAACAACAAAATGAAAGAAACAGAAAAAATAACCCAGGAACTTGACAGAACAATGAAAATAATCCAATTTGAAAAACAGGGAGAAGAGAATATAAACAGAAACTTGATGACCTGCAGAACTGTAACAAAAGATCCAACATTCATGTTATTAGAATGCAAGAAAGAGAGAAAAAAAAGGTGGAACTGAAAATTTGAAAAAAGTAATGGCTGAAAAATTTCCAAGTTTGGCAAAAGCTATGAAACTACAGATTTTCTCTGAGTAAACACCAGAGTATGAACCCAAAGAAACCAATACCAAGACACATCAAACATCTAAAAATTAAAGACGAAAATGAATTGTGAGAGTAGCAAAACAGAAACAACGTCTTTTCCTACAGAGGAAAACCCATTTGAGTAATAGCAGATTTCTCATGAAAAATAATGGAGAGCAGAAAGTTGTGGTACAACACTTTTCAATTGCTGAGAGAGAGGAATTTCAGTCCAGAATTCCATATCCAGTGAAATTATATTTTTTAAGAATGAAGACAAGAATCAAGATATTCTCAGATGAAGGAAAACTATTTGTCAACAGAAGATCTTCCCTAAAAGAATGGCTAAAGCAAGTTCTCAAAAACAGAAAAAAAAAATGAAATATTGGAACATTAGAAAAGAAGGAGTAATAGTAAAAGGAAAAAAAAATGGGTAAATACAACAGACCTTTCTTTTCTTCCTTAGTTTTCTAACTTATCTTTGATGATTCAAACAAAAATAACAACACTGTCTGATGTAGTTCTTAATGTATATAGAGGACATATTTAAGACAATTATAAATGATGGAGGGTAAAAATATGGAAAAAGGATAAGCTTTCTATATTTCACTCAAACTGGTAAAGATTCCAATACCAATATGTAATATGTTATGTATATATAATGTAATAGAGCAGTCACTGAAAAAGCTATACAAAGAGATACAATCAAAAAATGTCACAGGTAAATCAAAATAGAATTCTAGAAAAAAAATGTTCAAGTAACTCACAAAAAGGGAGAAAAAAGAAAAAAGAAATGGAAAACAGAGAACCAGCATGGCTCACACCTGTAATCTCAGCATTTTAGGAGCATGAGGCAGGCGCCTGAGGTCAAGAGTTCAAGAGTAGCCTGGCCAACATGACAAAACCCTGTCTCTACTAAAAATACAAAAATTAGCTGGGCATGGTGGT